AGGAGGTCAGTTCAGCAGCCCTGCAGAAGACATGTCCTCTAAGGGCTGGAAGGCTGTGGTAGACACCAACCTGACAGGAACCTTCCACTGCTGCAAGGAGGGTGAGCCGGGCACAGATAACACAGGCTTTGGTGTTTGTGGTTTGGTCTCTCAGCGTGACCGTCATTGTTCTCCCCTCCAGTCTACACAGCATGGATGAAGGAGCACGGAGGCGCCATCGTCAGCATCATCGCCAATATGTGGAACGGCTTTCCGGGCATGGCGTAAGAACTGTTTCCCTCATCATTCACACACGAATGTACAAAGTCGCATAGTTGTTGTTTTTTTTTTTAAATTGCCTGCTGCGTGGTGTGTCTCCTCCTCCCCGACAGCCACACAGGAGCAGCGAGGGCAGCGGTGGATAACTTAACTAAGAGCCTCGCCATCGAGTGGGCAGCCTCGGGGGTCCGAATCAACGCTGTTGCACCTGTGCGTACAGCTCAGCACTTAATCCGTTTTGTTTCAGTTTTTCAAGATGTGCATGATTTTCATTTCTCTGTTTGGCTGCAGGGTACAATCTTTTCCAAAACAGCGATGGAGAACTATAAAGAGTACGGACCACATCTTTTCAAGATGTCCGTTCCATTCACTCCTGCGAAGAGGCTGGGAGTGCCCGAAGAGGTTTGCAACCCAGTTCCCAGCTTTGTTAGAGGAAAAAAGAGTCTCCTGAAAATTCCCCTTGGTGTTGTTAAAAAAAAATGAAGCCAGACCACAAGGGTCTCACAGTGCTCCATAAACAGTATTAGAGGATATAAAGAAGTAGTTGTGAAGCCATACAATAGAAGAAGAAAGGTTAAATCACAGCTATAATCACCAATTTTTGAATTGCCGTCTTTGCCCAGGTCTCATCTGCAGTGTGTTTCCTGCTCTCTCCTGCTGCTTCCTACATTTCTGGAGCCACGTTGAAGGTCGATGCAGGACAAAGTTTGTATAAGTCCATGTGGGAGATACCGAGTACGTATAGCTCTCTAACACAACTGCACTGTAGTCTTCCCAGTATATATTAGATTTAGTACGAGGAGCTAAATTCTTGTGTTTGTCTCCAGACCACAGTGCATGGCCTGAAGCTCCAGAGGGGGAGAACCTGGATGCTCTGAATGAACTCGTCGTCCCAAAATGCAAACTTTGATTCACTCATCGGATGCGCGAGAGCACAAAATCCCCACGCCAAAAGGCATCGTGGACTCTGAGCCACAAACACTGTTAAGCACACCGTGCTGGCCTGGTTAGAAAGTCTGTATTTGTAGTGTGTGACTGATTGTTAAGAATTTGCACGTAATTGTATGTAATTAATAGTACGAGAAGTGTCCAGAAGTAAAGATTTGTAACATGCAACTTTTGAAATGTACATATCATTTTTCTCTCCAATTCTGTCAACAAGTCTGTGAGTAAAATTTAATAAAACTGTAAAACAGAACAATATAATTTTCTTTTTTGATTTAACATCTCTGTCTGTTTTGAACTCATTATCTCATAAAAAAGTCTAAAAAGATGTCTGATCATATATTGAACATATGGAATGAAAAATATTTTATGCCATATTTAGGAAATTATTTTGTTACAGCAGTTGACAGGAATATGAAATCGCCACTACTATTAGTATTACTACTAATAATGATAATATATGGAAATTGATTTTCTGCCTGGTAGATATTTTGTATTATAGAAGGTATAGAAGGCATGTAGTATCAAACGTTTCCTGCATCTGCTCTTGATTGTGTTAAATGCACTTGAGAAACCAAAGAATGTGATCCTCGCTATATAGATAGAGGTAAGATCTCGACAGCATGTATATGATTACAAACGGCTCTCACAGTTTTGGCCTGTGTGCAAACAGCATAGTGTACAGACATTTTTTTCTCCTGTGGTCTCAGACCATCTAATCATTTGCAAATGAAATGTCTATCTTGCAGCTGGCTGCCAGGAATACAAAAAGACATTCAGACGATAGTAATTGTTTCAGCATGGTAACACCGCATGTTAATAATAAGTGTCATTAAGTGTAAATATATTTAGATTGTGGATTTATGTAGTTGTTCTGTGTTTGATGTTGAAAATTAATCATATGTTTATAATTAAATAACGTTATTTTGTTGATCACGGGCACCAAA